CCTAAATAGAAATTTTTCGCTATTAACATCGAGTTTATAATAAAATTTACTTTTTAAAATTCTATTCTAAATTCAAGAATTTTTAATTCGACACCACAAAAAATTCCAACAAATCTAATATGGGGAATAATGATGCGTCTCTTTAGTTTAAATAGCGAACAATTTAAAAGACCGTGAAGACACGACGACTTTCTCATATTGAGTGAACAAGATTTTCTTTCACGAGGTATTTTTTCTTTTAATCTGATTAACGACGTCAAATGCCTGTCATTGCATTTAAAACTGTGTGTGTGCGCATTACGTAAAAACAATATCCAACATGTTATGTGCAATGTATATACACGAGAGCAAACACACATTATAACAAGTGTGAGAGATGACTCGGAAAATCGTGATCATTCCGTGACTATTATAGTATATATCCCGGTAGCCTTTCTCTGATTGTTTTCCAGGTACCTTTGTATATATACTTCCAAAGACCAATAGACACGATCATCCTCGTTAAGTGTACATGTATATATAAACGAGGGAGAGTAAAAGGAAATTTTAACGCTAACCACGCGGTACGTGCGATTATACCAGATTCCGTTTTCTATATATGTATGTATATATATATATGTATATATACGCATTCTTTAGCAGTTGAGATACCGTATAAGATTTTTTTTTGTACCTCAACTAATGTCAATCGTTGCCTTTTCGATCGTGACAAAAACAGAGAGGTCAAAAGCGAAATTGAACCTTTATACACACAAACAAGCAATGAGAAAAAAAAATTCATAGTTCAAAGATCGAATTCTTGAATTTTGTTCAAATAATTCACATTCTATTGCTTTTTGGTTTTAATTAAATTTTTATTTTATTTGCTCTCTAAATCTGAATTAGTAAAAATGTTTACTAATTTAACCCCTTGACTGTCGATTTCCACTATTTGGGCCAAAAGTGTGTTGCAAAAATTTTAATGAATTTTTATGAAACTTGGTATCTTAAGGTTTTCAGGGTCGCTGATTACGAACCTAAGGTCGGTTTTTCAAAATTCAAAATGGCGGATCCAATATGGCGGACGACAATTTGAAAATATAATGCAATTCGCTTGATAATGGGTACTCGGGGGTTTTTGGGGTCGCTGATTACGAATTCCATGTTAGTTTTTTAAAATTCAAAATGTCGAATCCAATATGGCGGTCGACAATTTGAAAATATAATGTAATTCTCTTAAAAATGGGTATTCGGGGGTTTTCCGGGTCGCTGATTACTAATTCGATGTTAGTTTTTTAAAATTCAAAATGGCGGTTCAATATGGCGGACGACAATTTGAAAGTGTAATGCAATTTGCTTGAAAATGGTTACTCGGAGGTTTAAGGGCTCGCTGTTTACGAATCTGAAATCAAAATTTTTAAATTTCCAAAATTCTATACAAAATTATTGTACAACTGCAATAATCCGTCATTCAATAATTATCATATTGGTTCCGTAATTTTGAATTTTAAAAACTGATGTCTCATTCGTAATCAGCGACCCCGAAAACCCCCGAGTAACGAGTTTCGAGCGAATTCCATTAGATTTTCAGATAGTCGTCCGCCATATTGGATCCGACATTTTGAATTTTGAAAATCTGATGTCATATTCGGAATCAGCGACCCCGAAAACCCCTGAGTAACTATTTTCAAGCGAATTGTATCATATTTTCAAATTGTCGTCCGCCATATTGGATCCGCTATTTTGAATTTTGAAAAACCGACCTCAGATTCGGAATCAGCGACCCCGAAAACCCCCGAGTAACCAGTTTCAGAAATATTTGAGATGTTTTTCATCACTTTTTTTAAGTTGCGCATATATGCGTAAAGAGCACTTTTGGCCTGTTTTAGTTTTACGCATATATGCGTCAGCGACAGGCAACGGGTTAAATTAGTGACTCACTTTTTGATTTATAATTAGTTAAATTTTACTAATTGTTAGTAAAAGTTACCCTAATAATTAATCAAAAATTTTACTAATTCAGAAGCAAAAAGTGAGTCACTATTTCAAATTAGTAAACATTTTTACTAATTCAGATTTAGAGAGTGGAAAAATTTGTAATGAATTTTTTAAAATTACATAAATATTGTAATATTTTTGGCCACTCTCTAAATTTAAAATAATGAAAAATGAGCTACTAATTCTTAGTAAAACAAAACTAATTTTTAGTAAAATATTACTATTTGATTTAGTAGTTTAAAATTATTTTTTTTTATTTCAGTTTTAGTAAAAAGTGACTAAAAATTAGTGAAAATTCTTACTAATTTGAAAATAGTAGCACTTTTTATTAATTCAGATTTAGAGGGCATATAATCCTGAATTATATTAGATTTAATTATACCTAGAATTGTAAACAAAAATATTACCAATAAATTTATAATAAACAATATTTTTCAATATGGGGCAATTTATTTGATTAAAAGCTATACTCTAAATATAATTAATGCTTTAAAATGGTACTAATATTTCTGCATAAAAAAAATTAATGTCATATTTTTAATTTTTTTCGATAGAAAAACAATTGCATGTAATTATCATTTTGTAAAAAAAAATATATCTAACCTTAGCCTTTCAATCGTATAATTTATTTTCAATGTTGAAATCTTCTGGAAAACACACGCGATTTAAATAATTTCGAACGCACTTCCGAAACAATATTTAAATTAGGAAAAAAAATACTTTTTTTTTAATATTTAAGCGATCGCGATTTTAAGAACTTCGAACACTCCCCCGGAACAAAAAAAATCTAAAATTACAAAGAAAAAAATTTTTATATCTAATATGTTTTTGTTTGCGATTAAAAAAATTCAAACACTCCAGAAGAAATTCATTTAAAAATATAAACATTAAATAAAAAAATATAAAGAAAATTAATTAAATTAAAATTAATTTAAGAAAATTAATTAAATTTAAAAAAAATTAAAATTAATTAATTTAAGATTATAAAATTTTCATTCAAGTTGACGCACGTCTGAACAGGTTAATACACGAATTGCAACTGATTTGATTATCTTTGGGATTTTATGACCTTTGGCTTAAGGTGGCCTTTGTACTCGAATGTAAACAAACCGCTCGGAATCCAAGAATAAAGGTAATTCCAAAATCGATCTCAGACATTTTAATTGAAAAAATACTTTAAAATTATATAATTCTAAACAAAATGGCGACTAACTGAATTATCTTTGAGATTTTTATTTTTAAATGCAATATTTTGTCACTCCAATGGAGGATGTTAAAAAAGTCCAATTTTTGGCAAACGAGAACAAACCTTTCTTAATTATTGGAAATTATTCTTTGGCACTAAAATTTTATAAAAATCGTAATCTAAAATCCCAAAACACTGGGAAAAATCTAAAATGACAAATTCAAAATGTCTGACAAAGATTCAAATAAAATTTCAAAAAGTTGAGCTAAGCCATTGAAAATAAGCACTTCCGGGTTTTTTTAGGGGTCGCTAATTACGAATTTGAGGTCAGTTATTAAAAATTTCAAAATGACGGACATTTTTTAACCCTTTGAAGCATACATTTTTCTTTAACAGGAATTTATCTTTGAAGTGCATTATAGGGGGGTTTTAAGGGTCGCTGATTACGAATCCGAAGCCAGATTTAAAAAATTTTCAAAATTCAAAATGGCGGATCCAATATGGCGGACAATTTCTTTTTTAAATTGATCATATCCGCTCGAAACTGGTTACTCAGGGGTTTTCGGGGTCGCTGATTACGAATCCGATGTCAGTTTTTCAAAATTCAAAATGGAGGATCTAACATAGCGGACAATTTTGTTAAAATTGATCAAATTGATCACAGACACACACACACAAAAGCGCCATTTTGAATTATAAAAATCCAAAGTCATATTCATAAACAGCGACATCAAAAACACCGTAGTAACAAGTTTCAAGTAAATCCGATCAATTTTTCATTTTGTCATCCGCCATTTTCAATTTTGAAAGTCCAACGTCATATTCATAATCAGCGACCTCAAAAACCCCTGAATAACAAGTTTTAAGCAAATCAGATCAATTCTTCATTTTGTCATCCGCCATTTTGAATTTTGATAATCCAACATCATATTCGTAACGAGCGACCCAAAAACCCCCCGAGTAACAAGTTTCAAGCCATTCCTATAAATTTTTCATTTTCTCATCCGCCATATTGGATCCGCCATTTTGAATTTTGAAAATCTAACGTCATATTCGTAATCAGCGCCCCCAAAAACCCACTATGCCGCAAAGGGTTAAAAAAAATTCATCGGATTCGCTTGAAACTCGTCACTCGGGGGGTTTTTAGTGTAGCTGATTACGAATTTGATGTCATTTTCTATAATTCAAAATGGCGGAATTTTTTTTTTTTAATTTATTTAATGTGCTAAAATCTTGTCACTCAGGGGTTTGCAGGGTCGCTTGTTACGAATCCGAAGTTAGTTTTCAAAAATTCAAAATGACGGACCCAAGTAGCGGATGAATTTTTGTAATATTTATCTAATTCACCTGAAATTTGGTTTTAGGGGATTTTTGGTGTCGCTGATTACGAATTTGATGCCATTTTCAATAATTCAAAATGACGGATCCAATAAGGCGGAAATTTTTTTTAAAATTTATTCAATGATCTTAAATCTTGTCACTCAGGGCTTTTCTGGATTGCTTATGTTAGTTTTCAAAAAATAAAAAATGGCGGATAAATTTTTTAATATTCATCTGATTCACCTAAAATTTGGTATTCGGGGGTTTTTGGTGTCGTTAATTACGAATTTGATGTCAGTTTAAAAAAAATTCAAATGAGAGAGTTATAGTATCTCAAGCGCAGTTGTATTTCGTAACGGTCGTTAATATTTTTGGAGAAATTAAATAGATTAGAATTGCATTTAAAATTTTAAATATTTAATAAAAAAAAAAATGTAGATAAATTTCAATTAATGTTTAAATTCTATATATAATATGTGTTCGTTTTGATTAAATAAAAATTTCCATACTAAATCGATCGATTTTACATGTTTATTTATTGATCCAATATATAATAGTGGGCCGTGTAATCACTCTTTAACCCCAATAAATCGTTTGAAAGACAGTAGACGATAGCGCAAAAGAAATGCTCATTCAATATGTATATATGTATATACAACAATAAACCCCACCCTAATATTGAGATACAATAAATCGTGGTGTGACAGATATTGCGAAATGCGATCGCAACAAAAACAGAAGGTATATAGATGGTTTTAATGGACAGCATGTGGCCCCACTAGAATTTTCTCCTTAGCGTTTTGCAGCATAACAGACGTATATATATATATAGGAGAAGTGTCACGACCAACAAAACGCCTCTTAGTCTGACAAAAATCGACGAACCGTTTGCTCGCAGCAGCTCAACTTTCTATATCACACAAACTATTGTACTATATATGAGAATTTCCAAAGGTGGAAATGGAATTTCAGCATTTCCTTCCCTAGAAAGTCAATATAAATATCGATTTTTTATAAAAAAAAAAAAAAATTCCACGGTGAGGCTGAATTTTAACTCAAAAATCCTACCACTAGAAGTTTTTTTTTTACCGTTTGTTCACTAATAAAATTAAAAGATTTTAAGCATGAATTGTTAATTTTAATCATTTATTTATTTTTATTATTAGTTTATTTATTTTTTTAATTTCAGTACACTTTGTTTGCTTTGAAATAAAAGAATTTATTTATTAATCTTCACAATTCTGTAGGTGTGAATTTTTTTATTCATCATGATACATTCCTTAATGTAGATTAATTAATTCTATTTTTAATAGAAACATTTATATTTTCTGATTAGTTTATCACAACATAATCCAAAATATTATAATTATATAATCCAAATCATAATTCTCTGGTAAACTGAAAATTAATTTATTTATATTATATTTATGTTTCATTATCTTTTAGTTTAGCGTGATTATTATACGGCATTTTTTCACATTGTTCTTCTTCCTCATAATCTTCATCATCATCAACATCGTCATCATTATCATCATTGTCATCATTATCATCATTATCATTATCATCATTTTCTAATGTAGTATATGAAGATGAGGCATCGTTTTTATTATTATTATTATTATTATTATTATTATTATTATTATTATTAGTATCAACATTTTCAACATCAATATCATCATCTTCATTTTCATAATCTTCTTCTACTTCTTCATCAACAGTTTCATTTTCTGTAGAATTTGAATTAAATTTAATGCCTCTAATAATCATATGAATTTCACGTGGTTTGGATACATTTGAAAATACTACTTCTTCTTCAGGTCGTGAACAAAATTTACCCCAAAGTTCATATAAATCTTCAATTGGATATTCGCATATTGTAGATGGTTTTTTGCGTTCTAAATCTTGCGTTTCAGCAATAAATGTTCTTCTATCCATACAAGTTAAATTAGAAAAATCTTTAATAGCATAATAATATTTACGTAAATTATAATAATTACTATCGCAAATAAATGGATTGCCACCAAGTTTAATGCCATCTAATTTTTGTCTTATTATATAAACATCCATAAAATTAACAGTATTAATAAGATTATTGCTCAAATCTAAAACCTAAATAAGAAAAAAAAAGATGATAATTTAAATTAATAATGAACAAAATTAAAAAATTCTAGCTCAATGAAAATAGATTTTTTTTAATAATTACCTTTAAACTATTATGATCAAAAGGTAATTTACTGTTAAAATATTTAATTCTATTTCGTGACAATAATAAAGTTGTAACATCTTTATAACTTGGTCGAAACATAAAATTGAATGATATCAAATAATTGTTATTTAAATTTAATTCTATTGTATAATTTGGAATTGTACATAATTCTTGTGGTGCATATTTCATTCGTCTATTTTCACAATTATAGTAAATTATTTTTTTCTTTAAATTCACTTTCATTGGACATGTAACATTGCATTTTAATGAATTCTCAAATGATAAATCACAAGTAAATTCATTTATATTTATATTAGACAATAATTTATTATCATAATTTTCAGGGCCATGACATTGTAAATCTGATGTTTCTAAATTTAACATCTTACTTTTTGTCAATAAACCATTTATATATTTTAAAAGTGGATAGACTGTACAATCACATAAAATAGGATTCTCTGTTAAATCAATTGAAACCTGTTTTGTCAAATTAAATTTATCATCATCGACATTAAATAGAATAACACTTTTAATTTCATTGTATGACAAGTTAATATTAAAATTTTCCTTGTTGTTGAATTCGATGGGAATCTTAAAAAAAATTGAAAATTATTTTACATTAATATATACCTTTTTTTTAAGGTTATGGCTTAATCTGATCCTCATGATAATATAACATTAATACTATATAGAAACTTACTATAAATATTGATAGTTTATTAAAACTAAGATCCAATACTTTTAATTCATGTTTAGATAATAAAATCCAATCATTGTAAAATGTTGTGATATTATTATGAGAAAGATGCAATTTCATTAGATTTATACAATTTGAAAAAACTGAAGTTTCATGAGAATCAGAAAAACTGATTTCATTATTTGACAAACTGATGTCTGTTAAATTTTTTGCCACATCAAAAGCATCTTGATCAATGGTTGTTATTAAATTTTCATCTGCTCTAAACACTACTAGACTGCTTATATTTAATAATGATCTAGAAAAATAAAAAAAAAATGCACAATTATTGACTACATTTCACCCACTTTGAAAGATTACCCGGAAAGTGCCCCCTGGAAGTTCTATCAGAATTCCGCATGGAACTTTCAACGTAATTCCATCGGAATTCCTTCGGAGTTCCAAAGAATTTCGACGGAATTAGGACTCTAAAAATTTTGAAAAAAAATTGATCGGAATTCCGTCGGAATCCCATCGGAAATTCTTTGGAACTCCGATGGAATTCCGACGGAATTACGTTGGTAGTTCCAGCGGAATTCTGATAGAACCTCCAGGGGGCACTTTCCGGGAAATCTTTCCAAGTGGGCACTCAAAATTGCTGAAACTGTCAATCGGGGTAATTATACACATTACAGGGGGCTATTATAACCATCGCCAGTTTTTAATGAACAAATTTTACTTTTGTTTTTACTAAATATCTAGAGTTTAGTAAAATTTCACTTTCACTTTCACTTTGGGAAAAAATTTTTTTCTACATTCCTATTTTCACTCTCACTTTTATTTCTACTTTCATTTTAGAAATTTTTTTTTTACATTTTTATTTTCACTTTTATTCTCAGTCATATTTAATTTCCTATTCGGAAAACAATTTTAACATTCTCATTATTACTTTTACTATCGCAAATTTTTTGTTTTTTTTTCATTCTCACTGTCACTTTCACATTGGGAACATAATTTTTAATTTCTCATTTTCACTTTCACATTACGGTAATTTTTTATATTCACTCTCATTTTTACCATCATTTTCGAAAAAAATTGTTTACATTCTCATTTTTATTTTCACTTTCAGAATTTTTTTATTCTAATTATCACTTTCACTTTCACTTTGGGAACATTTTTCACTCATTCTTAGGGTTCTGTGACTCAGACAACCGTTTCTACAACAACCGTTATCAAGACAACCGTTATTATAGCAACCATTACCATAATAACCGAATCCATAGCAACCATTACTAATACAACCGTTACCATAATAACCGTTTTCATAGCAACCGTTATCATAATAACCCTTACTATAGTAATAACGTCTCAATAGGAACCATTACCAAGACAACCGTTACCATAGCAATCGTTACCAATACAACCGTTACCATAATAATCGTTTGCATAGCAACCGTTATCATAATAACCGTTACGATGAAAATCGTTATCATAATAACCGTTACCATAGCAACCGTTACGATGATAATCGTTACCATAGCAACTGTTTCCATAGAAACCGTCTCCATAGCAACCGTTACCATGACAACCCTTACTATAGTAATAACGTCTCAATAGGAACCGTTACCAAGACAACCGTTACCATAGCAATTGTTACCAATACAACCGTTACCATAATAATCGTTTGCATAGCAACCGTTATCATAATAACCGTTACGATGATAATCGTTATCATAATAACCGTTACCATAGCAACCGTTACGATGATAATCGTTACCATAGCAACTGTTTCCATAGAAACCGTCTCCATAGCAACCGTTACCATGACAACACTTACTATAGTAATAACGTCTCAATAGGAACCGTTACCAAGACAACCGTTACCATAATAACTGTTTCCATAGCAATCGTTACCAAGACAACCGTTATCATTATAATCGTTACCAAGACAACCGTTACCATAATAACCGTTTCCATAGAAACCGTTATCATAATAACCGTTACCATGGTTATCGTTACCATAATAACCGATTCCATAGAATCCGTTATCATAATAACCGTTACCATGGTAATCGTTAATATAGCAACCGTTTCCATAGAAACCGTCTCCATAGCAACCGTTACCAAGACAACTGTTACCAAAATAACCGTTTCTATAGCAATCGTTACCAAGACAACCGTTACCATAATAACTGTTTCCATAGAAATCGTTATCATAATAACCGTTACCATGATAATTGTTACCATAGCAACCGTTTTCATAGAAACCGTCTCCATAGCAACCGTTACCATTTTTATTTTCATTTTCGGAAAAAATTGTAAGTGTGAATAAAATTTAATGACAGTGTAAATAAAAGTGAGAATATAAAAATTTTTTACTGTAAGTTAATGAGTAAAATGATAAAAAAAATATTAGTGAAAGTGAAAGTTGGAGTATAAATGTAATCACTTTCAGTGAGAGTAAGAATTTAAAAAAAATTTGTAAAAATGAGAGTAAGAAAGAGAAAATCAAAATCAATTTTGCGAAAGTGAAAGTGAGAATGAGATTTTAAATGAAAAAATGAAAATAAAATTTCGAAAAGTAAAACTGATAGTGAGAATGAGTATAAGAAAGTAAAAAAAAAATTTCCGAAAGTCAAAGTCAAAGTGAAAATGAGTGTGAATGTGAGAGTTACCCCTGATTTTTAATGACTTTTGTTAAGTAAAAAATAGAGTTTTTTTTGTGAATATAATTAACCCGATTGACATTAAGGAAAATAAATTTTTTGTAATAACAATTAATACATACTTGGAAATTGTTGTCAAATAATTTCTGCTTAGATAAAGTACTTTTAATTGAATTAAATTATGAAAAATTTTCTCGGGAAGAATTTTAAAATAATTCGCCTTTAAACTGAGAATTATAAGATTTTCCAAATTTTCAAATATATTTTCACTAATACTTGTCAAATTATTGTAGCCAATATATAATTCTTTTAAATTTTTTAAATTAGAAAAAACATTTTCTGGCAATGTTTTTATTCCATTACCAGCGAGATGTAATTTTTCCAAATTAATTAAATCTTGAAACATATCAAATGTTATATTATTTATTTTATTTCTATCCAATAATAAATTTTTTAATAATCTTAAATTTCTGAATGTATTTGATTTAATAAATTTTAATGTATTATTTGATAATATAAGATATTTCAAATTATTTGCCAATGGTTGAAATATATTTTCCGGTATCTCTAATAATTTATTACTAGATAAATGAATTCCTCTAATATTTGTTAAATATTGAAATGTATTATCGGTGAGATTTCGCAATTTATAATTATTTATAATATATAATTTTCTTAAATTATTAAATCCACGAAATAAATCATCATTGAGATATGTAATTTTTTTTCGAAACATTTTTAAATGAAGTTCTCTTGTATTTTCAGCACCAATTAATTTTGTGATATTTATTAAAGTTGTTGTATTTTTTAATTGACAGTTTTTAATGGTTAATAAATTTGTTATTTTAAAATAATAAAGTGGAACATTTGTATTTAATGTATCCCAATATGATGAGCCAAAGCATTCTAATAATTTATTTGTTGATTTAAAGTCAATAATGAAAAATTTACATTCATCTTTTGGATTTATTATTGGACCAAAGCATTTATATTTTAAATTATATCTTTCAAAATGTTGTACAGTGCATGTTGTTTTATTTAATATTTCGACACTATATGCAGTAATTGTTTTCGATATCAGAAAAAGTAGAAATAATTTCAAAAAATTTTTCATTTTTTTTATTTTATAATTTGATTCACTGAAATGATAAAAATAAATTTTTTTTACAAAATTTTCTTTTTTCTTGATACATATAAAAAAGAGAAGTAAATAAAAAATATATTTCTTTAGATTATTAAAAAATAAAATAAGAAAAAAATTTATTTATAAATAATTTTATTTTTAATAGATCGGTAGATAAATGAAATAAAAATAAATTTCTTACCTGTCTCTATATTTATTGAAAAAAAGTAATTAATATCAAATACAAAATAAAAATAAGTTTTTCTAAACGTGTAACTTTTTTTTTTATTTTTTTTTTTTTAAATAAGAGCTTTTATACGTACTTTATATAATGAAGTAAAACATTATGAAATTTCTCTAAAAGTACCTTTTCAAATATTCATAGAAACAGACAAAAAAAACACAACTGAACAAAGTTCTATATTTGATTATCAAGTTTTGTATTAAAAAAAAAAAAATTTATTATATTATAAAAACTAATATCGCTTTAACAGTAAAAATTTCTTCGAAACAATTTTAGATAAATTATTTATGAGTTTACATTAAAAAAAAAAAGTTTTTATTAAAAAAAGTTTTTGAATAGTTAAAAAAAAGTACTATTTTCAAATAATATATTTTTTTTACTATACATGTACAACTTGTAAATATTTAGCTAAAAATTTTTTTTTTTTTATTTAAAAAATTTTATTCTCTATTGACGAATTTAAATGTATTTGACTGCAATATTGATTCCAAACTTGATATATTTTTTCTAAAGGAATATCGCAAATTGAATTTTGTTTTACATTAATTTTTGTTGATGTTGAAATGTATATAGGATCATTTTGATTTGGATCAGTTTGAATTTTCTGTTCCATAGCGATTAATGACAAATTTGATGATTTCATTAAAATTGAATTATTGTTATTAATGCAATTTAATTGAGAAAGATCTGAAATAGTTATTGCATTCTCACGTAAATCCCAATAATATGAATCGCACGTTAATGGATTTCCACTTAATGTAATATTCCATAAATTTTTTTTTGAATTCATTAAATATAGTTGCGCTGGAGTTATTGTTTTTATAAGATTATTATTAAGCTCTAAAACCTAAAAAAAAAATATTTTTATTACAAATTAATTTGTTCAGATATCAATTTAAAAAATTTCACTTTCGCTTTCATTTTCATTTTCATTTTCACTTACACTTACACTTACCTCAATATTGGTATCAAGAATTTTAGTGTCGAAATTTTCAATTTTATTTCCAGACAAAAATAATTTTGTCACATTTTTATAAAATAAATTAATATCAGGAATTTTTGTTAAAAGATTATTTCTTAAATTTAATTCAATATTGTAATCTAAACAATTGTTACATAATTTGTTTGGTAATTGTATTATTTTTCTATTGTCACAATCAATAATTATTATGTGTTTTTTTAAATTTTTTCTAACTAAACACTCATATGGTATATTTAATGATCTCATTACTGACATTCGACCATCATAATTAGTTGAATCGCACACAAATTCATTAATATTAATTTTTGATAAATATTCTCCATTATATTCCTTTGGACCATTACATTTTAATTTATTAATTTTTATTTTCAATTTTTCCTTTATTTTAACATCATTTATATAATTTAAAAGTTCATAAATATAACAATCACATACAATAGGATTCTCTCTTATGTTCAATATTATTTTTGGAAATAATTGATATTTTATTTTATCAAAGGGAGGAAGAAATATTATTTCAATTCGATTAAATGACAAGTTAATTTTCAAATTTTGACGATTTGTGAAATTTTTAATCTGAAATTGTGAAAATTAAATTTTTTATTAATTACTTTTTTTTCTTCGAGTAATAAAATAAATTAAATTCTAATTATATTATATAATTTTGTTTTTATATTATAATAATAATAATAACTTACAGTAAATTCCGTTATTCTATTATTATTTAACTTTACAAGTTTCAATTTTTTCGATGATAACAAAAACCAATCATCATAAAATATTTCTATAAGATTAAAAGAAAGAATCAATTTCTCCAAATTGATACATTCAGAAAAAATGGAAAATTTTTTTGCTCTTTGAAATTGAATTAAATTATGTGATAAATTTATGTGACGTAATTTTTTTGCATTTTTAAATGTTTCCCTTTGAAATAATTCTATTGAATTGTTAGATGCTATAAATATCTCTAAACTAGTTATATTTAATAATGATCTGAAAATAGAAAAGAAATTTTTTAAATATATAATTAAATTTTTTTTTCAAATTACATTATATATATATAAAAAAAATAGGGTTAAACATTAATAACATAAAATGAGGCTCAACCAATTGACATAACCTCAAAATAAAAAAATTATTAATCCCAGATAGCACGGAAACTTGCAGCAAGCTTGCGGCAAGCTTGTCTGAGCTAGCGAAATGTTTAAATACGTTTAATACATTTAAAGAATTTTATTCATCTTTTCAATAAGTATTTTCATATTTTAAATAAATTTCATAAAATATAACAATAATAACATTGATTAATTAACAAATAAAATAGAAAACACAAAATTTCTATTTAAAAGCATTTTGAAAAAGCCCGCCGTTTTTCAACTGTTTTTCAACTCATAAAAACAGTCGAGGGTTAAGAGCAAGTGTTTTTTATTCTCTGATAGTTGGTCGAGTAGGTTCTCGGTTAGGGTCTTTGGTTAGTGTCTGTTGAACCCGGGTTCAATTCCCAGTCCCCTCAAATTTGTTTCGAAAATTTTCTCGTTAAGTTTTCAAATGAAAATAAACAGGACATAATTAATAATAATAAACGTCACAAGGATTTTCAAATTTAGAAAACAAATAAATTTTGTTTTAATTTAAAATGTATTTTTGAAAAATTACAGCAAGCTTGCAGCAACCTTTCCAGAAGCTTGTTGAAATTCTCCTGCAACCTTACGTAGTAAGCTTACAGCAATCTTTCACGGCAAGCTTGCCGCAATCATTCTTAGTATGCTTGCAGCAATCTTGTAGCAATCTTCCATGGCAATATTGCAGCAACCTTTCCTGGAAAGCTTACAGCAAGATTTCACGGCAAGCTTGCCCTGGGTGGGACATTTCGCTAGCTCAGACAAACTTTCAGCAAGCTTGCGCGGTAAGCTTGCCGCAAGCTTGCTGCAAGTTTCCGTGCTATCTGGGATCATTTAAAAAAATTAAATGTTAAGTTCAAAAAAATAAATAGTTGAAAATAAATAGATGACTTACCTGGTAATTTTTTTAAATTTATTATCGCTAATAATTAAAGTTTTTAAATTAATAACATCACGCCAAATATCATTTGGAAGTGATTTAATTTTATTCATTCTCATATTCACTAAATTAAGTTTTTTTAATCCCATAAAAATATTTGCTGATAATTTTTCCAATTGATTATCAGCAATATTTAAATATTCTAGAATATTTAATGTATTAAAAATTTGATAAGGTAAAGTTTTTAAACAATTTCCAGCAAGATTAAGTATCATTAATGATTTTAAATTTTGAAATATAAATGGATCAAGTTTTTCTATTTTATTGTTATGTAAATCAAGTATCATTAATTTTTCAAGATTTTTAAATGTATTATTTTTCAATGTTTGAATGAAATTTTCAGCAATAAATAATCTTAAAAGATATTTTGCATTTTGAAAAATCATCTCTGGAATTTCTGTTAAATTATTATTATTCAAATTAATGTACTCAAGTTTCTTCATATAATTTAGTGTATCATTATTTAAATTAATTAGATTATTATTATTCATAATGTACAATTTTCTAATTGAATGTAATTTTTTAAATAAATTTTTATTAACAATAATTTGTGTTAATTTATTTGATATGTGAAGACTTATACTTTTTTTTGCAGCAATTAATTTAATAAAATTACTGAGATTAGTGTCCAATTCAAAATGGCAATTTTCAATGTTAATAAATTTTATTTCATTGAAATAAGAAGAAAAATTGTAATTAAATTTCATCCATTCTGGTGAACCTAAACATTCTATTTTAATTGTTTCATTCTGTACATTTAATAAAATTGAATTATTATTATTATTATTATTATTAACGTCAGAATTATTTTCCATTAAATTATTGATACAATTAAATTTTATAAGTTGAGAAGTATCTTTTCCACAAACATCATTTGAATCTATTCTTGTACAATTATACGTGGCAATTACTACTTTTATTAGTAGCAAAAATTTTAGGTGCTTAAAAAGGTTCTTCATTTTTTTTTAGGTTATTTGTTTTTTTTTAAACTATTTTAAAGTGTACTGAAATATAATAATAATAATAAATATTATAATATATAAATAATAAATAAATAAAATTAAAAAATATATATAAATTATTATTAACTTTTTATTATTAGTAATTAATTATTATTTAAATATTATTATTACTGTTGTATTATTATAATTATTAAATAAATTTATTTCACACAGTATTTGAAAAATATAGTAAAGTATTTAAAATTTAATTTTTATATTCTTCTGATTATACACTGAGAGACTTTTTTATTTAGAGGTTATTACCGTTTCAATTTAGGAAAAAAGAGGAAATTATTTATATTTCCAATATGAGTGTATTGAAGTTTGTAAAAAGTATATAACGAAGTTTGTAAAACAGAATACAAAAAATTAGTATGCTCCATAGGAAATATTAATATATTATCCACGAATGTTTCCGAAAAAAGCCGAATGTAGTTCGGAAATTATCTCGAAATGCTGTGATTGGTTGAACCATACCATTTTTAAATCAGCGCGCGCATTTTTCACCAATCACGCACTTGAACTTTAGAGAGCAGACGATAACTATTTTTGAGGTTAAGTACAATTTTCGATATACAAAGTCCTGTTTTTCCTCTCAGTTTAAAACGACAACACATTAAATTAAATATATAAAAAATTGAAGTATTTTAAATACAAAGTCTCTCAGTGTTAATTATAATAATTAATTAAATTCAAACTTACTTAATTCTTCATTTATTATTATTATTTTTTTTTTTTTTTTGATTTTTCCGGTTTAATATCTAAATGAAAACTGCCAATGACATTAAATTGACTTGAATATTTAATTAATAACTAACCTATAAATAGATTATAGATACAGCTGAAAAATTGATACACACGTGCACTAAAAAAATAATCAGTTGTATAACATTCTTTCTTAAACAACACTTTTTTTTTTATATAACTGACAAGTATATGAAAAATATTTTTTTCTTATCTTCTCAAACTGTTAAGCAATTATTGTCATAAAAATTTTTACTATTTGCCAAGCACTTTTTAGAAATATAGAAATTATCGTTAATGGAAATTTTTGTTAATGGAAATTTTTTTAAAAATAATAATTATTTGGTGGATGTATTTATATCGTTACCAATAATTTTTTATCTTTTTTTTTTGTAGAAGTTCTTATTTGTCGTTAATTCTGACCTTGTGTGTTTAAATTCATTTTAATTAAGAGGTAAAACAAGACCAAAAGAGTTTTATCTAGGCTGGCCTAAGAAAAATATACCAAGAGAGAGAGAGAGAGAGAGAGAGAAAAAAATTTAGGTGGGCGAATGAACGAGCGACATCAACACTGCTTTTACTAATGATCACCTTCAAGAATTTAACAGGGATGCGAGAAAACTCGTTCAATGAAATGCAAAAAAAAAGACAAGAATTTTGCGGCTCCTTTTCAGAACACTAGTCTCGTTATTTTATTTTTTTTTTTTTACCTATGATGAACTCACCTCATTTCGCTTGCAAAAACTTACTAATCAATACCCATTGCTGGATTAAAGTTACGAGATTCTATCCATGCTAATTGTCACAGTGAATTTACAAATAAATACATATGTTGAAGTGTTAATTATGTAAGATACAACTTAAATAGATTTCAGACATCTTTTTTTTTTTTGATCAAATTAAATAGTGCCTTTAGTATACGTATATATATTTTATTTTATTTATATGAGCCAACGGAAAGTAAAAATATTTGGTTTTACTTTTCGGCGACTCATGTCATTAAAATTTTTTTTAATTATATATGAATTTAATTTTAATTAATTTATCATTCTGTATCAATAATTTTTAAAAAAGCAGACAGTAATCAGCTGATTCAATGGCAGCCATTTGCAATTTTCAAAGATGCCTAGCGACTGTCACCAGACACAACTGCGCTTGCGCTACTGTAACTCTCTCATTGGTAGAAAAAGGCGCTCTTATTTAAAATGCTTTACTATACCGTCAACCGGGGCTATTATACTCGGTGCTTCACAAAAATTCAGAAATTAAATAAAAAAAAAATTATAACACTTTTGATATGTTGTGGACATCCGTCTAAAGGTATTCTGTAAGTTGGACAAGAAAAATTTTTTTACTAGATTTATCCCTTAAGGAGGTTCAACCCATTAACATAACCTCAAACTGAAAAGTAGTTTTTAAAAGAGTTAAAAATATATTTAAAATTTATTACACCCAAATTCGACAGATCCAATTGTACAATTTTGGAAAAAAATTATTTTGAGTTAAAATTTTTTGTTAAATAATAATTAATAAACATTTTATATTATTCTTAAAAGTTAGTAAACAATTTTAATTTTTATGCATTTCTTACAAACAATAGCTCATTTTGCTCTTTGAAAGATTTTCTACAATTCTGATTTTGTGTTTTTGTTAAATAATGCTTTGTTTAAAAAAAATATAAAAAATACAAATTTTATTTGTTTATTAATTTTTGAATACAATATTTTTAATAAAATTCAACAAAAACAAAA